GATGACTTTGCAAAGGAATCGTGTACAACAGTGCATGTTAGTGAAGCTTTGCCACAGGACATTTCTGTCTTCTCTATCCTGAATAAATTAAATCAATGAGACGCACCCTGAAACACCAGTTACACCCTTTCATTGTATATCAGCCTTGAGCTAAAAAGGTTATGAGACAGCAATATGCTGATGTTTAGTAGAACATAATGAATTCTGAATAATGCTTTGCCCTTTGATCACATCACACTACTCAATGGTGCAATTAAGTCGGTAATTAATAATAGATTAAAAAATACACACTGAGTGGCAGGCAGGTGGGAGACACATTGCTTCAAATCGATTTAGCAAAATGGAGAAAAAAAAAAAAAAAGAGATAAAACTGTAATTACGCGCATCAATCAAAAACTGTGATTGAGCAAAACCTCTGGGGCATAAAACACTAAACTAAAACACACACACACACACACACACACACACACACACACAGACATGATTTTACAGTCATTGGCCTGTCAATGCCCTCGCCTGCCAGCTCCAGACAGGCAATGTGTTCCAGATTAGATCAAACTCCAGGTTGCCCATTTCGATTCTAAAAGCAGCCGTACGGCACTCTGTTACCATGACAACGCTCACAGTCTGGTTTGCCGTCTGCGGGCATAAAAATAGACAGAGGGGAGGGTTGTGGTTCAGTTCAGGACTTGCTGAGATGATAGTGGGCAGCAGACAATCATAAAAAGAGAGAGCATGATTAGACCACAGTCATTAGGCTGCTGGAGTATCTGGCACCGGCCCTTAATCAAACTATGATGATACAGAAACAAGCTGCAAGCCTTGAACCCAGACTTTACTGACTGGTTTGTTTCCTCAAGTGAATGCAGTCTTTGCCGTTCATAATTTGATCTCTTGTGACAGAGGTAAAACTTAGGTGGGGCTGATTTGACCCTCCCACCTGAGTCAGAAGGTGGTAGGTAGTTGGCTTATTAGTATCATGAATTACTGAACAAGCCTCCGAGGGGGCCCTGGGCTAGAGCTTCTGTATGAAAGGACTGTTATAAAGTCAATTAAAAACTGCAAAAAGACACAAAAGAACCACAAAGAATTGCAAAGTGACAACAAAGAGACGCAAAATGATCACAAAGAGATTCAGAACAACCAGAAAGAGACAAACAAAATTACCACAAAGAGACACAAAATGATCAGGAAAACATGCAAAATAGCCACAAGGACACATAAATTGACAATAGAGATACACAATGACAGCAAAGAGAAGCATAATGACCACATAGAGATAAACAATTACCTCAAACATGCTAAATAACCACAAGGACACATAAATCGACAAAAGAGACACACAATGATGACAGAGAAACACACAATGACCACAAAGACGCAAAATGACCACAAAGACACATGAAATGACCACAAAGATGCAAAATAAGCACAAAGAGTCGCAAACCAACAACAAAAGTACATAAAATCATAACAAAGAGACACAAAATAGCCACAAGGAAATACAAAGCGACAACATAGAGATTCAAACTGCAAAACAACCCACTGCCCATCTGTTCATGTCTGTAAGGTATCTGGAGTTACAGATAGCAGCTATTTATTTATATTATTTCATTTGGAGTATATTTAAATTTTATTTGGCATTCAATTCTTACACTGAATAAATAAAGTCCCCCCCGGCCACTAGGGTGAAAGGTCACACATTGTCAATCATTGTGATTGCCTGTGTAATCAAACCCTCACGCACTGTTGCCCCTGCAGTGAGGATAATCTACAGTATTCACTGTTCACTCACATCAGAGCAATGCAATCTCCTTCTGTGAGTAGCAACAAAGTCTTATTGACTAATTCTAGCTGTCAATGTGAGAGTGAAGCTATATGCTCCAACCAATAAGGCAGATCAACCGTGGTGTACCGGCGAAGCCGTAAATGTCTGACTCTTGTTTAATGAAGCAAATCTGCCACTGAAGAGGTTTTTTCCCCTCAACTTTAAAATAACTGCAGTTTGGAACGAGTTCTACAGTTTTCTTCAGATTGCGTTAACATCTGTTTTTACACCTCACCTAAAAATGTCTTTTTCCCTCCCGGGTATATCCTTCTTCTATTCTCTTTTTATTTATGAGCAGCATTTTCAACGCAGCATTTTGTGTTTATTTGGCTTTATAACAGTTATTTGTATTAAAAAATTGTGGTAAGAACTCATTTTCAGGAGAGATGTGGGTAACACCTATTGAAATACTTCTTAAATAATAACAGACAACAGTACTAGTGAACAGTTAATTAGACTTTATTTCTGTCACGACAAAACAGTAATTTATCAAACATAAATAACATATTATGTGTAATAAACTGCACTGACGGTAACTGATAATGGGCTTTTTCTCTCCAATGGGGTTTCTCCAAGTAACTTTTAACTTGTTTCAATGTGAACAGCAAACTCAGTCTTTGTGCCTAATCCGTATTAACAAAATGTCTGCTTTAATCGTACTTATTCTTTTGTTTGGCTGTTCACATTACTTTTTAAATTCCAGTGTTTAAATTCCGGTCCTGAAGTGACCAGCATGACAAATGTCTGTCTAGAGTGACCTAAAAGTCACATGAACTCTGATATGTTATACTGTTTACACAGAGGTCACATTGCAAAAAATACCTGTATCTGATGAAATCTGAAAAGATCAGATTCCAACTGATTTGTGCTGTACATGAAAAAATATGAGCAAATTTGGCCTGCAGTCTGAACGCAGCCTTTTTAGTTTCAGGGAGCTCACAATCAGCTCACTTCAATCCAATCAGTGGCACCTGATCCACCTACAGAAGGCCCTACCTCCACCCTCCCCCACAATCCTTCACACCACTTGGTTTGTTCTTTATAAAGCTAAAATCTGGTTAATTAACTTTGTTTCCTTCCTTCATGTTGCTCCCCTTGAGCCAGGGTGGTAACACTAAACGAAGTATGGGGCAGTTCCCAGTAAACAAATATGTTAAATTGATATCACAACAGCTACACTGCGACTTTTACTTAGTATATATATGTATAAAATAAAATATTAACTTTCATTGTGCACACACCATGGAAATGAAAATCCTTCTGTACCAGCTTCCACAAACCACCAGCAACAAGGATTACAGCCCTCAAAGTATTAATTTCTCACAATTATTAAAGGGAGAATTTAACTTTTGAGGCTAAATAACTAAATTAATCAACCAAAAAAAAACTGACACAAAATGAAAAAATTATTATTTACAGTGCTGGGTGGAGGTGAAGAGCATTTAGAAAGCTGGAGGGAAACTTGCCTTTATACATGTAGCAGCCAGGCCGGCACCAATCAGCTTTCCTGGAATCACCTATACACTCAATCGCCCCATCAGCCAATCAGAGAGGCTCACCTGCAGCCCATTAAGACAGCAACGCAGGTTGAACCAGAGAGAGGGAGAGAGAGATCCACAAGCACACACAGATGATGTTAAAGCACATAATATAGAAATATACAAACATAATGTCACTATACGCCCTCGGAATCGTACAACTTTATACTGTTTATTGTCCAAAAAAACACAATAAAGTTAGTTCCAGAGTGAAAATATCTGCTCCTTAATGATATGATGATCTGACACGAGATAAAACTGTTCTAGGCTCTAACATTATGATCATCACACAAAACCTACCTGGATCTCAAATACTGCTCCTCAGTCATTTATCATCATTTTATACACAGTTGTATGGCTGCAGCTATGAAGGTACACAACTCTCCCTAATGTTTTCTCTACTGCAACGATAATGTAGTATATTAATGATAATAGGTGCTCTATATTCAACATTTTCAAACAATGTAATTTCCCAAAGGATGTTTCTGTAAATTGAATATCATCATTTAAAAATAAATGGCACCATAATTTTATTGCAGTATCTAGACTCTGTTTTCCCCATTTTCCCCAGGAATGATGTACTGTAGTTATTAACTCACACAGTAATGTTTTACAAAAACTGTTTATATAAAAGAGTAAGTTATGATTGGATCTTTATTTGAAAAAATAAGACAGTACTGGTAGGTACTGTCTTATTTCAAGTACATTTACTCAAGTACTGTACTTATTTGAGGTATTTGTACTTTACTTGGGTCTCTTCTTTTATGACACTTTCTACTTCTCCTCCACTGCATTTCAGGGCAAAATATGGCACTTTATTTTTTCAAAATTATCAGACAGCTTTAGTTACTTCACGTTTTTATATATAGATGGGGCTTTTATTGCCTTTAATCGATAGAGATTGGTGAAGAATGACAGGCAAGGGAAGGAAAGGGCCACAGGTCTAAGGTCTAAAGCCTTGGTACATGGGCCGCTGCAGCTCTACCAGGTGAGCTATCTTGGGCTAAATTAAGATATTTGCATACAAAACATACAATAGCTTATAAAATATGATGTTTTGTTGTAAAGTTTATATAAACTACCCAACAGTGTATTCAAGTACAGCTAAAACAATTAATCCATTAATCAAGTGGTCAATTTAGAGAAAATTAATTGGCAATAATTTGACAATTGTCATTTTTCATGCAAAAAAAAAAAAAAAATACATTGAATAGTTCCAGCTTCACAAGATTTTTTCACTATTTTCAGAAGTTTTACAAACCAAACAATCAATCAATTAATCATTAGTTGCAGTCCGATACAAAATAGTTCATATAAGCTCCATCTCATCCAGATACAACAGTAAAATCCTGCTTTTACATTAACACATGAGCCGTAATAATCTAATGGGGTACTTTTAATACTTAAAGTACATTTTCCTGATTATACTTACATACTTTTACTTAAGTAACATTTTGAATTGCAGGTAGTATTTTACTTATGGAAAAGATCTGATTACTTCCTCCACCGCTGGTTGAAGGTCCGGTTCAGCTCTGTTTGTGCTATAATCGCAGTTTACATGCTTGAGACAGTGCGTACAACAAACACCCATACACAGAGTGAGTGCAGCACATTCACTTTTTGAGGACAGAGAGGGGTAAGAGGCACAAGGCTCCTCCCTGAGAGTTTGTGAAAACATTCCAGCAAAGTGAGAGCGGTCAAAGAATTGGAAACTCTCAGAGCGGCCTCTTACTCTCTCTATCTCTCTGCACATGTAGTTACACTGTACACAAGTGTTTATAGGTTGTGTGAAGTCTTGCGGGGGGGAACACATCAAAGAGGGAAACCTGAAGAATCCTCTAAAACCTGGACAGACAAAGAAACCTCAGCTGTCCCATTGATCGGCTCACAATGAAGCCGGTGTTAGTCCTCCTTGTTTCCACTGCCTGGACCTTTACTGGAGCCCAGTATTACTACCAGGGGCTGATGGATTATCTGGAGAACAGGTTGTTGGCTATTGAGGTAAGAAGCAATACCCCTTTAAATGACTCATAATTGATCATTACACTGTAGTTTTCCATGCTCTCTATAGTCGTTAAAAAATAAGAAATACCAGCTGATATTTTTGAGCTCCTGATTGCCTCCTGCTCTTCCTTTTAATGTGAATTTAATATCTTAACTAATGCAGTCCAATTAATGCAATCTCTGCCCAGCTCATCAACTTTGCAGGGGCCTCCGGGGGAATATCAGTTGATGCATGCAACACGCAGTTTCTGTCTGACAACATTACGGTTTCCTCAGCGTTTAAGACAATGACATGTCAGTAATGAGTACAAGCTCAACCTTTGCTGCCTTCAAACATCCCAGCAGCCTAATAGAAAGATGTGTTGTGCAAAGGTAGAATTAAGCTGTATTACAACAAAGTGCCTGAGGGAAGGAATGAAATTGCTGAGAGTTCAGTATTGCGTTTTAAAGGGAGGTTGTAAGACAGCAAAGTTTCTTTAAGGGAAGACTTTTGTTGGCTTAAGGTGAGTGTGATATGAAATGCAGGATTACGTGGCTGGCTACCTCAAGGACTCATTTCAGAGAACTCTCATTTAAATAATTCTCTTAATGTATTCTTTTGGAGAACACTTTCAGAGGATTTTTTCCTTTTCATCAGCCATGTGGCTGCAATGGAAAAAAAAAAAAAAAAGACACTCTTTTAACTGTTAGCTATATGAAATGAATTGTCTATTTACAGTTAAATCCTGCTCTCTTCGCCCCCTGTGGCTTCCCCTCCAGTCTCAGTTCCAATATGCTGGCTGAACATGGCAATTCATCAGCAAGTTTTCATTGAACTTTCATTTCCATTTCACCACAGGCCCAAAGCGAGCAAAGAAAGAAAATGAAACCGAGGCGCACGAGACAGTGGAGAAGCCATCAGTTATTACATCTCGCTCTGAATAATTTACCTGTCACTGTGACTGTGTCAATCACTACACTGAGACACTACTCTATTTGGTGATAGTGATAATCCTGTAATGGGAACTGGGACATTTTCCTGCCTGAAATCTATTACAGTAGGAAACAAGACTGGGAATCCGCAGCCATGCTAGCGGCTCTGTCAGGGCTGTGTTTGTGCTTGGAGGTGACATGAGCTAAATCTGATGCTAACATGCTCACAATATCAATGCTAACATGATGATTTTACAATTATAATCGCCACCATACTTTGTTTAGTGGGTTAACATCACTGACAGAAGTGAAGTCAATGCAGTGTCTCAAACCTGCAGGGGGGAGCCTTGTGGGTTGCAAAAATTAAGTCTGATAGTATGGATTCTTATGGGACTCCACTTCTCACTCGATTTATTAGCCCAATGAACAGTTTCCTAATGAGTTTAGGATATCAATTGCTAGTTTCAAGTCTTCTTCCATACAGCATGGAGTTCATTTTGTAAATGATGGTCCCATTTAGAGTAAAATAGATAAAGCAGGGCATGCTTTAGGGTCTGGATCAGCACTCCGATCAGGATCCGATCTGCTTAAACGCAGTCAAAGTGGATGGACACGAATGTTTTATGTGAAGATGAAACCATATTATCATCACTATGTTGTTGCTGCTCTTTACATTCCCCCAGATGCAAATTCTAAAGATGACGTGCTGATTTCTTTGCTAGGTGTAGGCTATGTATATATGTATATAAATAACTGTATACATATTATTTTATTGTTTGGTATCCAAACTTGTTGTGCCACCTTGTGTTGTTTAATGATAAAACTAATTACCTTGTGATAGTTGTTGACGTACTGGGCAAAGTTGGTCTTAAAGTTGGTTTAAATATGAATTTTTTTACAGACATTCATGGTAGCCCACAGAATGAATCCTACTGACTTTGGTGATGCCTGAATTTCCGTGTGGTGCCACCAGCAGCTTTTAGTCAAATATCTTCACACCTATTAGATGGAGTGCCATGAAATTTGGTACAGACGCTCATGTTCCCCTCAGGATGAGCACCACCTGTACAGAACAACTTAATTGTCAGACCAACATGTTCAGGCTTGTGGCTTTCATCGGGAGGTTCATCCATAACCATGACCATTGGTGATCCTCTGACTTTTTATCTTTGTCCACTACTTTAGTTTATTCTATAACTGCATGGGATAAGCATAAAGTGGGCATGTCTACAGAGAGGACACTCGTGGGTACCCATTTTCATTCAGATATCTTGAGGTCAGAGGTCATGGGATACCTTTGAAAATGCCCATGTCAGTTTTTCCATCGCCCAGATTTTGCCTACCTTTGGACATCTAGTTTCACATGATGCCAGTATCACCTAAGCTTTAAAACGGAGCTGCTAAAACCTCTGGAAACGCCCCTGAACATGGGAAACATAAAACCTGCTAAATATGAATGTTAGCATTGATATTGTGAGTATATAAGTGCGCTGACCTTAGCATTTAGCTCAAAGTCTTGTTGCTGGTTAGTTGGTTTGTGTAAAAACCAGACAAAACCTCTTACAGTTTATTATAACACTTGTTTTGCTCTGCCCATGTCTGGTAGGATCGAATTCAGTTTTGGCATGACCAATCCCATCGCTACCACACAGAGCTGCAGGATTTTAAAAAGCTAACTGCTGAGGCCATGGACGGCCTGAAGAACGAGCACAGCTTGCTGTTCAAAGACCTTGAAGGAGCTGCTGTCAAAGTGGACCGGGTGGAGCGAGAGATGGACTATGTGGAGACTCAGACTTCCCCTCGGGCCTGTGCGAATAAGGCAGAGAAGGTAGTGGAGCAGGGAGCCTGGGGGCTGGAGGAGAGCAGAGGAGAGGAAGAGGAGGAAGACTGGGAGGAGCTGTACTCCAGAGTCTCTGGTGAGCTGCAGGGAAGTACATTCGTATTTCAGCCAAACGTCCTCTGTGGGACGGCTGCCTTTGATCTTTCATTTTCATTCATGACAGAGCACTGGCACCATCAGAACCTATATACAGTAGCTTGTATGTTCTATGGTTAAATTTAGCATACACATCACACCAGGCACTATACCACCCTCATTTGCAGAGTTGCTGTCTTGGAAAAGCCATGCCACTGGAAAATGGGAAACAAACACGTTGCTGTTACAAGTCATTTAACGGAGTGCTTTGAGTCAGTGGGCAGTCATGTTTTCCAGGAAAAATGTGACTTGATGCATTTCTTTCAGCAGAGCTACTCCCCCGTTTGTGCTGTTTGAGCACAGCATTTGTCTTTATAATCTTCAGATCCCAAGGCGTGCTGCTACAAACAATGCTGAGCTACAACTCTGCTAATACAGGGGACTTATAACCCTTTTAAAGCCTGATGTGGAAAGTTGTGAAATAACATTTTAATTCCACGAAACACATAAGACTTTATAATTGGAGTTTCTCCGAACAGTAAGCAAAGGATCTATATTTTTGCACTTAATTGGTTTCAAAAGCTAAATCTCATTGGTACCATTTGAACAGACTCCTCATAAAAACCAAATGAAACAAATATTGATTCCTTTGTTATTCTCCCTCACTTAATAAGACAATCAATAACACATAAATTCAAGAATTATGTAGTAATATATCATAATAATAATAACAATAATATCATAGGTGCTCTGCTCAGAATCATATTGGTAGTTATGCTCTACATAATCATGGTAGATTTCTGTCATTCAAATACAGATTGAATCATGGTACAATGTAGAGCAAAGGCTTCTCTATTACTTTCAGTGTGTAAAATCGTCTGTTCAATCTGGAGCTGCTGAGTCTCTGCGGAGAGGAGGGACAGGAAGCTGCCCCGAAGCTGTGGCATTACTCTTCAAGCTCATGTTCGCAGGAGTGAGCTCTGCACACAGTGAACCATTGTGAATGTCTGTGAACTGACCCAAAACAAACTTTACCGCATTGTAGGGACCCATTTCTGATTTGCAAGCACAATGCTAATTTGGCTCCAGGACACATCAGGGGGACATCCTTTGTTTGTGCATTTCAGTGAAAGCGGTGTATTAATCTTACTTCTTTTACAGAAAGCAATTTCATGTTGTCTGTGTGCTGCACTAATACTTCCTCTCATTATGAGTCTGTGTGTCCAATTTCCCCCTGACTGGTTTGAATTTGCCTTAATTTGGAGAGTCAGATATTAACCGCCGTAGGCTGCTAGATGTTTTCTAAACGTTAGGTTGCAAATACAGATTTCAGCTGAGGAAAGGCACTTTACTGAAACATGTTAATGGAACAAAATGTCGCAGCTGCGGATCCAAATCAAAATTTTTATTATTGCAATTATATAAATTTTACACCTGGGAAATTTTTTTTGTCATCATAATTGTGTCATTTATTACATAGACATCTGGCTGCAGCTTTAAAGATTATATATATATATATATATATATATATATGAGATTTTAAACATTAATATAGCAGCAAACTATTTGCTATTTAAAGATATAGTGGAGTAATGGCCGTGCACGCATGTTAGTTCATGTGAGTCCTGCTTCGAACAGAAGAGAGCGACTTAAACGGCTGTTTTTGTCATCTGCGTCAGTGAATCAAGGATTTATTTCGACCAAAGCAGAGTTGGTGATTATTGGAACAGCAACAAAGACGGCTTTGATGAGTTTTATTTGGTTACAACCAACAGCTGTCATCACATTTTCATTCAGATGTTTTAATTGATGTTTGTGTTACATTGCTTAAACTGGAAATATTCACTTCATACATCACTGAGGTTATGGTTATATCTACTTTTTAAGGCCTATTTTTTTTCAATATGCTTTATATTATGAACGATGTCCTTCATGAACAACATTTTCTGCCAGAGAGAACAGTTTTGGTTATTTGAAAGATTCCTGTTTTTGCCCCTCGGCTGTCCTTGAGCCATCATAAGGTAACATCAGATCATAAACCAGAAAAACAAGGGTGCATTTGTCTTCTGCAGTTCTCCACTATTTTCTGGTAAGAAAAAAGTAAAGATTTTTTGTAAATGTAATTGCGCTAATTAATTTGAAAATGTAATTAGTTACATTACTAGTTACCTCCAAAAGTAGTGGAATTACAGTTGCTCCCAGCACTGCATCTAGGTTTGACCATGATTAATAGTTTAAAGGTACTACAAGAGAGTTTTAACAGGTTATGAAACAGTATCAGTTTAATACTGATGCCTCTATATGACGTACATAAACACAATCATCAGCAAGAAGATTGGCTATTTCTAAATAGTTATTCTTAATTCGGCCACCGGGTTAGATTCACATTGAAATCAATGAAATGAGGCAGTGGAAACACTACCGCTTTTGTCCACAGGGGCCGCCAGACTCAACACAAAACGTAAGTTCCTTGTAGCAGCTTTAAGCACAAAAACATTATCCTTCTCTCTTTGTTCTCTCACTGCAGACTGTGTGGAAATCATCTCTAGCATCAGATCAGTGAAGATCCTGAAGCGAGTGGGCAGTCCCAAGGGCATGTGGACCAGGGACCCCAGGTCGTCCAAGGTTTACGTCTTTAATGGGACATCCGGAGAAAGCATCTACCAGTTCAACTCTGTACGTGACTTTTCCCGCTCTCCTGGTGTCACTAGCAGCAGACAGATCAGGCTTCCCTCTGAGTGGAGCGGTCCTGGCAGCGCTGTTTATAACGGCTATTTGTACTACATACAGCAGGAGGCCGATACAGACGTGCAGGTGGTTAAATATGACCTGCTGAGTGGCTCGGTGACAGACATTGCCATGTTCCCTGTGGAGAGCCAAGCTACTGTTTACAACCTCAACCCAGAAACTGTTGCGGACCTCGCAGCAGACGACGAGGGCCTGTGGCTCCTGTACGCTACCAGCGACAGCGAACCAAACATCCACCTCGCACAGATGGACCCTGCCACGCTCGACATAGAGCAAATCTGGGACACCCGCTGCCCACGGGAGAACGCGGAGGCGGCTTTTGTAGTCTGTGGGACTGTCTATGTCGTTTACAACACCCGCCTGGCCAGCCGGTCTCGGGTTCAGTGCGTGTTTGACGTCAACGACATGGTGGTCAGCGAGGAGGCTCCCCTGCTCTACTTTCCAAGGAGATATGGATCTCACGCTAGTCTGAAATACAACCCTGAGGAGAAACAGCTCTATGGCTGGGACGATGGCTACCAAATCATCTACAGACTGACCATGAAGAGGAAACTCCTGGTCTGACAGCAGGGAAGGGGTGTCATGTTTTCAAAGGAAAGGATGAAAACTAGGAGCAGTAAATTTGTTCCCGCTATGTCTCTCAGTAGCCTGCAGGCTTTTCATTCATGGTAGATTTAATACACATCACACATTTTTATGCTAATTAAATAGCTTTTGAACTATTATTTATTAATTTGTTCCCTTTCTTACATGTGTAATATAACAAAACACAACGAAACAAAGATAAAAAACATGAAAATGTCACGCTGTTTATTAGAGGTTGTCACGTCTTACTGCTGTGTGGTGTGTGTGTGTGTATCCTCCCCTCATTTAATTTGACCATTTGATTCCGACGAAATCTCATTTCCTTTGTGTCCGTTCCTGCTTGTTAAGCCACTGGCTGTGCCGTCATTATATGCTGCGCGTTGCCACAAAACACACAGCACAGAGCTCATTTTGCATAAGTCTTTTAATCAAAGAAAAGAAAATCATGTCACAGAACTGATAACACATCACATCCCATGGGAGAAAAAAAAACAACAAACTCTTTTCTGCCGTTGATTTTCAGACTTGTTGAAACAAAAGAAAAGACAATTTGTGTTGGAAATACTGTATGCTATTTCAGTTTACTTTATTACACACTGGGTCACTCATTATTGTGATTCTTGATAATGATCTAAAATCTAAGAAGAAGAAACTCATAATAGACTTGTCTTGAACTAACAACTGTTGATATCAATCACCAGAACATTTTCTCAAACATTTCTATTATTACAAATACAAAATGTTCAATAAAAAATTGGAAATTCAGTGCTATCATAACAGTTGGAAGGGATACAAGATCATATCAAGAAACATTACAATATTAGGCAAAGCTAGAAGGGCTCGAGTCCATAAACTGAGGCAATTGATTTAACGGGTTTTTTCTACTATGAAAACACAGCACATTGGCAGAGAAATATATGACTATCATAAAGCACGTTGAGAAAAGAAAAGAAGAGGAACAGAAACGTTATTTTTCACCGACTTGTTTCAAATTTTACACTAAAATAAGATATCAGAAATCTATGAAACAACTGTGTGAAGGAGAGCAAACTGTGACATTTTGTGGAGTAGTGCTGATGCTATGATGGATTACGTCAAGCACGAACAATAAAGCACTGACTCATACGCCATAACAAGTGCCAATTAGAGAAATGCCACTGCTCTGTAGACGCTGACCTGTCTACCCATCAGCTGCCCCCGCTCTGTCGTCTTAGACTCGCACACACACAGAGGTCGTAAACAGCTCGCTCCGGATAAAACCTACCCGTGACGGAAATGGCTAAAACAGATCTGGATGGGTCTGTTGAATGCATCTGCTCATGTCTTGATGTCTGGCCCCCAGTTTCTCAAAGACATTTTCACAAACTCTGTGATATATAGCTTGTTCATTGTACAGTAGTATAACAGTTTGAGCCAAAGTATTACTTGTCCTCTTTTGCTGAATGAGGCACCAGCAGTCTAGACCATTCTAAGCCACTGCCAAGAACATTGTTACATATCAGATTAAAGATGCTGTGGGCTGCTGTTGAGATAATACAAATGCTATTCAATAAATGGTCTTCATATCGAAAAGAAATTATCTGTACAAGCCTTACGAAATATAATCTGTGCATGTCTCCTGGGAGTCTTCCGGCCTGATATCAAATTGACTCTCTAGCTTAACATTTCCTGGCCCAAATGTACTGATGGTATCTGTGCTTGTCAGTTAGACTACGACTGGAGGGTAAACCTTAAACTGGTGGAAAATAATGTTAAAGGACCAGTGTGTAGGAACTAACTGAACACCACTCTGTATTTGATGACAAGGGAACGAGAATGGGTGAAAGTGTGTAGGAGAAACTACAGTGGCCATGAAACTTGAAACGCAAAAAGGCCCTATCTACAGCCAGTGTTTGGTTTGTGCATTCTGGGCTACTGTAGAAACATGGCGGTTCAACATGGTGGACTCGGTGGAAGGCGACCCACAGCGTCTGTAGGTACAATTCTAAGGTAACAAAAAAAAACGATTCTTATTTTTAGGTGATTATACACTAATGAAAACATACCTATGAATATTATATTCTGACAATAGAGCCTCTTAAATGTTACACACTGGACCTTTAATATAAACAAAATTATTATGTTTTAGTCTCAAGATGTAACTTCCATTACTAATATTTTTAATCAAAAGCATGACGTGTTTCCTGTTTGCAAAAAAACTGAGGATACTTCAGATAACTCGGTCAGTCATATTATCGCAAAACCAAATGATATTAAATTAGCTCTTGCAAGTGAGGAATGGCCATCAAATGTCAAAAAAACACAACATGAATTATCGTTTAAAAACATTATGCTTGGTTGGGGTGTAAAAGTTGGCGTATTGATGAAAGCAAAGTGCAACAAAGTGTGATGGAAACTGACTTAGCAGTTACGACGTACAACAAGGATGTGACTTCACTCCCCTGAGGAGATGAAAATTGTGACAGATAAAACATCAGATCTGTGAAAATAAAACTGTAAAGTTCCTCTAATGAATACATGGCTTTCTACCTTTTGAGGTTTGACTGGCACTCTTATAGTTACGTTGTGTTGTTGTGCTCTCTTCTGAATGATTTATAGCACCCGAATGCGGAATTAGCGCAACCAACTGTTTATCTCAACGGACCCAACGTCGAACATTCGCATAAGGGTACTGAATGGAAACGCATAATTATTTGCATTTTCTTTTGTGGATATTTTTATTACCTTTGATTTTAAATCTGTCTGAGTTTCTTCCACACCAGTTCCTGTGCAAAACTATCCACCACCTTTTTAACATCCATTGCTCGGACCAGAACGCAAGATGCTTACAGCTAATTATGCACTCTGAGCTGATGGAAGGTTTCCTTCTTGGGATATAGAACATTTTCCACACATTACATTTGTGACTTGTGCCTTTCATGGCACAAAACCTCCTTTCCATAAGCTGTCAAGTCATTAATCCCCTCTCCTACCCCGAGTGTGTGCGCGCCTCAATGCTTGGAAAACCACATCCAGTAGTGGCAAAACTACTACGACTGTAAACCGGAGGAAAACAATGTTAATATAAACCAAATTATTAAGTTTTATTCTCACCACAAGCTATACGGAACCTTCATTACGTATATTTTTTTTAATTGAAAGCTATAGATATAATAGTGTTTTTTACCTGAACAATTACAAAATCCACTATAGGACAGTCATCTAGGCCTTAAGTGGAATTTTGTGCATCTTTTATCTGACAAAAACGAAAAAGAAAACTGATATAACAGCAGTGCTGCAGTCTTTTTCTTAATCACATCAAATATCTTCAAAGATAATCCATTTATCACATGTTGCAGAGCAAGCATCTGAATGGCAAGTTCAAATACACGTTATCCCTGTACAACAGTATGATTAATGACAGGATAAACATCAAGAAAGTTGCATGTTTCTAAGTTCAAAAGACAAATATGTTCACCTTTTTCAGAGTTTAGGTTTTTCTCAATCATCACCACCAACAAGGCTACATATATTCAAAATGTAAGTTATTATTTTTTTATCTATACCTATCATTGTATCTTTTCTGGTTTTCTGTTCAGAAAAACAAAACATACATACGGTAACTGGCTGACGGCTTTACATGAAACTATACACATCCACCAAAACCTCTTCAGAAAAAGAACAAGAGGAGACAAAGAAGTGCTTTTGAAGAGTGTTTGTCGGAAGGAAAACATGAGTGTTTGTGTGAGTTTTCGTTTGGAAGAGAGGGTGACATTGCTCAGAAGCAAACATCAAACAGAGAAGGAGGTAAGGGTGTGTAAAGTGTGCTTACAATTTCCCTGTTTACAGAAACCTCCAGAGCTCCCTTGACAAAAAGCTTGTTTCTGTCAAAATTATGTTTTTTTTTCATTGTCTATGTAAAAATCTTTTCTTTTTCGGTTGTCTTTTTGTCGTTAGTCGTTACGCTTGTTTGTGCCTTTGTCAGGTAATTTAACCTTCTACTTCTTGTTTTGAAAATTGACAAAAGATTGAAAAAAAAAATGTTTTTCTTTTAGTAATGACACTGCAGCCAATTTGCTCTCATGTGAATACCAATAATCCTGTTAGTTCTTCTTCTTTGTTACATAAAACTTCTTGTCTTTGCTGCTTGTGAAAACACACTAAAGCTGCAAATTGCCAAGTTGAGAATATTTTTAGTTTCTGCCTGATCCAACTTCTCAAATAATTGCTTCTGTTTTTGATGAAACTGGAAGTACAGCGAACTCAGTCGGATCTTTGAAACTCATTTCAGTTTTGCTATTCACAAACAATAACGACTAATGGAGCGGTTTTTACATCTAATAGTTCCAAAATGCTACAGTTCAGTATCGTATGTATTTATGCTAATACAGCACTGTGAAATTCAATGAGAGAGAGCCGTAGAGTTCTGAAATTGATTCAGATCCCGTTTAAGATCGTCTCTTTTTCTACCCCGGCCGTGTCCTCAGCTTCCCTCTCTGCAACTTCCGCTGCTCTCAGGGAGCGAAATCTTCGTTCTACCATCAAAGAGTCTCTGCAGCACAAAGCTGAATCTTCAGCGCTTGGAAAGTCTCCTTTGAAGACGCCGAGATCCCTTCACCTCAGCTTGGACAGCTCAATATTAAATGTCTGCAGATTGGATGTCCAGCCAATCTCTTCTCAGGACAACGAGGGTCATCACAACACCCACATTTCAAATCAGTTACCCCTAAAACTTTAACCCGAAAAGACTGCGCTTCACACAACTAACTGACTGACGGTGGTCCTAGATCAGTTCTTGGGAGTGCTCTGGGACTAGACTTGAGGAAGGGAGGGATAGAGAGTGAGAGAGAGAGAGAGGGAGAGGGAGAGAGAGGGGGAGACAGTGGGGTTGTGTTTCTCCTCAATCAGACAGACAGGAAGTGGATCAGCAGGAGGGAGGAAACCCCCTTCTGGGCTGCTGGGTCACAGGTGGCTCTGCTCAGGGACTAGCAGGGGGCCTGGGTGAGGGGCAGGAGCCTTGGCTGTCAAAGCTAGCTGTCCTCGCCTTCCACTGCAGGACACACAGACACAAGGAAATGATTCATAACACATATGTTGCTTATTTTTTTTATTTTTTTACACCGCTGCCACTCTAATATCTGTATAGAGGAGAGTGTTGGTGTTCCAGGAAAGTTTTGGACTCATACAAGGAACTCAGTGATTAATATCTGATAAGACACCCGTATACAATCTCAGCAGAAACAAGGAAACAATGTTACTTTTTTTTGTTTTTTAAAAAAAGAGAAAAAAAAAAAAAAAAAAAAAAATGTTACCCACCTTCCCTTTATGTCTATACCTAAATCCTTGGCTGCAAAAATAAATAATAAATAAAAAACAAATAAAAATTAAAATATATATATGAAGTAATGTAATATTAATGGATAATGTCTTTATTCTTTGCCTTAATCTTTATAAAAAGTTTTGGAACTTCAACTCCCAGAACCAAAGTTATATAAGTTCCAATGTTGAATAATAAAAAAGGTCTTAGCCGAAACGTTGGCCAAAATAAATTGGTGGAATTGAGATTAGTCAACTACACAGGAAATCTGTGTGTACGTTACCATGGATTCAATGAGACAGGCTACGGTCACAGATACGTGAACGCAAGTGATCGCCATTTGTCCGTTTTACGCGTCAACCACACACACATATTTGCTATTGGTTGAGGCTGCGATTTCACCAGTCAAACTCCACGAGAAGCAGAGATATGAATTGTCACCGGAAGCCTCTTCACTCACAAAGAATGGAAGTTAGAGGGAGGCAAATATTCACATTTGTGTTGTGTTATGTTGATTTCACGTATGTGTGACTGTGTCCTTTAGCTGTGAGCCAGCGATATTTTTTTTAATAAGCTGACATTGTGAAAGAAAGAAGCGGCTATAAAACAGTGTCACAACCCCAGCAAAATGACCTGTTTCACTATCAGAATTTGATCCAAACTGTCCAATAACAAGTCCAGAAATAGAGATAATGATATTCTCAAAAAGAGTAAGTCATACTGACCGTAAAAAAATGTGTATCACGTCTGTGTGTTCAGATTTGAGTTATGAGTCAGAGCAGGAGTCTGTTTTTTGACGCACCACTGCTTTAATTCCCTCCATGAGCTGTTTGTCATTGCTGTAGCTGCCTCTGTTGGAAGTGTCGGTAAGCGGTTGCACCAGCGGTTGTTTTCAGAACACCTGCATACACCTGTCCCTTAAATGCAGTATCTTTCTTGCCTCATGTCTCTCCCTCTGTGCTGCTGTCTCCTCCACCACCACCCCTCCAAACTTACAGCAGACGCTTCAAACTGGGAGCCGAATTACCAGCTTAGCCCCCGATTTCTCATCCTAAATGATGAACACACACACAAAATACTTCTGTCCTAAACCTACCTCTTTCTCAGATTTCTTGGACTCCAGCAGGGGGTGCCAGTGTGCAATGGGCTTGCGTGGATATGCCAGCATTTCGTTCCAGTGGTCCCTGCCAAGTCCCTCGGCATTGCACCCAACCCTCATCACACCAATGATCTCATTATGACCTACCCTGTGGGGACACACACGTACTGTATAAATACATCTGATTTAACCTGACACGACATCTCATACATCAAACTGTTATATATAATTGCAAGAAGGGCATTTTGTAATGAGAGGAGACACAAATCTCAACCTGGATGTGCCGCCGATTGATACGGTGAGTCTGCAGCTGATTGTCTCAGGGACACTTGAATTGACTCATCTCTGGACGCCCATCAAAGGAAATCTTTGCTGCACTAACAATGTCTGAAGTGTAAATGAAGGCAGTGTTTTCTTGACATAATCCCTAGATCCTGATTTAATCCTAGCATAAGAGCAGACAGTAAAGAAATCACAAGAGGCTGTTCTTTTTATACTACATAGTAGAAACACATACATACACACACACACACACACATTGTGACCTTTAACATGCGTGTTCTCATTCTGTCAGCACGCTGAACTCTTTTTCCCTTTCCTGTTAGAGCTTCACGTACCTTAAACATAAAGGTACTGTAGTGCGCTATACTCCTTTTCTGAAGATCATCAATTTAACTGACTCATTTGAAAATGAGGAATAATCAAAATCTTTTTTCATTAAAGATCCTCTCCAGGCATAAAAATACTCGGCTTTCAATAATAATTTGTGTCTGATATGGTTGTTCCAGACAAATGAATGAGTGGTAAAGTCTCAAAATCACATCTACTCCTTTTCCTTCATTGAAAAATCTAGAATTTATGACTATGCAAATATTTTTCATTTTAAAGGTTTAACTAAAGGACAGAAGATTTCTCAGGCTGCACTGAAAATGTTTCAGGTTTTAACACTTGTCTAAGTTGTACAATGTAGGGCTTTTCCATTTGCGCGCCGAGTCAAGCCATGCTGCGCTGATTTGCATCTCCATTACCAGTTTAAACGCACAGAGTTGTGCCGCGCTGCGCCTGACATGTCGGGGCCAGCCTCCAAGCGGGTTGCGGTGACGTCTCGCCAACCATGGCCAGCCCATAACGACTCCTCTTTTCGCCCTCAAACAAGTGTGTGTTCTGAGACTTTCAGGAGAGCAGAGAGAGAGACAGATGTTTTCAAAGTCTCTGAGCGTTCAGCTCTCAGTAGTCTTGTAGCTTCTAACTGAATCTCTTTGGTTTGAAGTTTAGTTTCTGTCGTGCGTTTCTGTTTGTACTTTAAGATATCTGCTTTATGTTACCGTTTCATGTTCGCTTTCATCTGTGTAGGAGTCGTGTTACGTTACTGCTGACTAAAACCCCAAATTTCCTGATTTTGATGAGAATTTTATTGTGAAAAATGTATAGGGAATCAAATTAAATTAGTGGAGCTTAGATAGCGGCAAAATACAACAAGTTTACGTACTACTATTGAATCTTGAGCTCTCTCTACTATTGCTGCTCTCTCTGGCTGTAAAGACACACCTCTACCTCGGGTAGTCCTGTTGTAATGGAGATGCAAATCCCTGCTGTGCTGGGCTGAGTCAAATTGAATCAAGCCAAGCCAGAACATGAGTATGGAGTCAAAATCATGCTCTTATGAACTCGTCTTAAACTCAGCACAGTGAAGGTCAAACATCCAAATAACAAAAAACCAAACACATTTTCATTATTGTCTTAAATTAGATGTTTGGTTTGTACGTACAAATCGTAGTCCATGACAGAGATGTGCAGGCTGACATGGTCCATACTGTCTGGCGGGATGTCAAAGATGATGGCCTCGTTGTAGGAGGGATTCAGGGTGTTCTTTTTTATGCTTGTCTTCTTCTTTTTCAAACGTCGCCCGTCACATATGAGCGAAACTTTGACGTAGGGATCTAATCAGTGAGAAGAGAAGAGAAAGAACAAAGACAGACTTTATCTAAAGAAAAGTGCTGATAATTAAATATCACCATGTCTGAACTCTTTGCAAGGTATCCATCTTATGTAGGAAACTGACAGAGCCATAATTAGCATGAAGATCAGGCGTCTGGGATTATTAAAAGAGAGCGGTGTTACAATGTTTGCCTTGACTGCCAAAACATCTTCAAAGATGTCCGTGAAGATAGAGCCATCAGTGGCCTATTTCATCACCCAGTGTGTCACGAGCGTGTGTGTGTGTGTGTGTGTGTGGAGTTTTTTTCTTTTCTTTTTGGTTTCTACTTAAGCATGAAAGCAACCCTGGAGGACCTGGCATCAGTAATGTGCAGAAAAGTAGATGAGTCAACGCCTTGTGTAAACAAAGGAGATATGAGGCGATAGATAGCTTAAACAGCATGACTGAGAGAGCTTCCTGATGAATGCAGATTTCGATCTTCATCCTTCAGTGGCAAATCGCCTCGTATGATCCATTATCCCACGTTTTAGTCCGATGTAAGCTGCCCTAAATCTATAAACAACAAACAAGAGTGCTTGCTTTGCAGCCCAATATGCTTGACGGCACAATTTGATAGCTACGGGTTTACGATGCAGAGATTGAAATAATGGCAGACAGCTAAGCCCCTAAAAACTCAGGGGATTAAAAATCGTGAAATGTCATTAAACATGGGAGGAAAAATGCCACATTCACTCCGAATTACACCTGAACTCTGGCATTTAATGCACAATAAATGTCACATTTTACAAGTGATATGAGTTTTGTGGGGAAACATGCAGTCGATTAAAATAAACAGACCGCCTGCAACTATTTGCTGACATTGTCTTAATATTGCAAGTGTTGAATATTAATAAGTGCTGAAATAAACAGAGTGCAGCTGTAGAGATGGGTTGCCAGTGTTTGTTCACTTAATCTGACAAGCTTACAATTGGATATTCATGGGGGGGGATCATTCATTTTGCGCCACTGCAGCTGTAAGTGAATCACACAAACACACACCTGAGTATCCAGTGATGTCCATGGCCTTGAGGTTCCTGCACTTGATGACAGTAAGTGTGAGTCTGCCTGCGGTGGGCAGGTAGCATAGTGAAAACATGATCTCCCCAAGGTCAACACTTTCCTGTGGGAACAAACACACACACACACAAAAATCTATTTCATTTTTACATTCAACCCTGATGCTTTGATCCAGAGCGATGTATGATAAGTGCAGTGGCTCATCCTCCTGGTCTGTGTCTGAGATCAATGCTATATTTTATTTATAGTTTGCTCTTAGTAGAGCTCAGTCATAGAAGCAAACAGTGAAGACACAAAAATAAAATCAAAATAAAAAATACAACTTTTAATGCACTACTGTGTTATCTGTTATCCTTCTCAACTTTTATCATGAAACTGCAAAAACAGCAAAGTTTATGGTGGCCTCTTGTTCCAATTAGTGTAAGAAAGTATTTAAAAATATCATATTGCAGTATTTAGTTTTATGATATTGTATCAATTCTCAATAACACTGTATCAACTTTTGTGTTTAAACTCACAACTGATAGACAGAAGTGTTGTAAACACATGGCTATTTGATGTTGGATGTTACAGGGACTATGATAAATAAAAATTCAGATCCCACAGTTTTTATTTTGGTGTTCTCTATACTAGGTTTTCCTAAAATTTGATTATTTGTATATATATATGTATCATATCACCAGATTCTTGCCAATACATAGCCGTAGTTCCCAAAAGTAATAAAATCCGATTCTAACAATTGAGACTAGAAGACCTAAACTAATTAGAGCGCAGATTACACATAAAGGTGTGTGAAAGAGATAATATGATGCAAAATAATGCAACTTCTCCATTTGCATTTTTGGCTTGAAAAAGGACTGCATTATGAGCCTGTTGTTAACTGCAGCATTGTTTTTAGATCAGGTACAGGAGGGATGCAGGTGTATTGTGTTGAATAACAAGTGGAGAATATTTGTTGTAAAGCATGCTGCGGGTTAGAGAATGAGATGTATTGTCGTCATTTTGTACGACTACTCAAGTCTGTTTGCCAGGATCTGCTTAACTTAGCATAAAGAGTGAAAAACGGGGGGGGGCAGTTAGCCTGGCTCTGTCCAACGTTCAATACAGCAGCACCTCTAAAGGCCTCTTCAACAGGACTGTACATTATTTAATTATATTAAAGGTTTTAATGAAGAGGAGAACATCTCTCTGAGCCAACAAGCTTGCTACTCGTCTGCAGATAGCTCGGTCGCTAAAAGTTCACACGGTTTATTCCAAAGAAGTTCAGTATTTGTATTAACTCATGTAACTCTCTGCAAACAATTCCACAGCTAATAAGCTACGATAGCGTCCTCCGTTTTGGTCTCTCCGACTCTCCGTACCCTCAAATGTCAGGAGGGCTTGCTGTTGGTCAGTGTACGCTGTAGTAGACAAACAAATGCAATTTAATTTCTGTTGGACTACGGAAAAACAGCCAGGTTAGCTGCTTCCAGTCTTTATGCTAAGATAAGATAAGCTAAGCTAAGCCCCCTGCCTCTAGGTCCATAGTTAATGCACAGACACGAGGTTTCCTCTTTCTCTTTCTATCCAGAATGAGCATTGTTGTTGTGGAGTTATCTTCATTCATTCCCTTGAGTCAATGTTGGTGTGTATGCTGAGAGGAAGGTGCACATTCGCTCATTTGATCCACATTTTTATGAACTGTGGAGTTGTGATGTTTGAAAGATGCTTGTTGACTTGTGTTTAGTCTTCGTGCCCACACAGGTTTTCTCTAGGGGGGACCTGCTCTACCCTTTGAGAGGAAGCAGTGTGCTTTCTTTCTAAAATGTCAGTGGGCAATGTTTTCAGCTGTCAGTCAATTTTAAGGAAGGGAATGCTTACTGGTTTATCATTATTAATATGTATGTTTAATCATGCCTATTAGAGGGTAAATGTGATTTTGTTAAAGTATAATTGAGTGTAATGTATTTATCTCTAAATAAGGGTATTTTGAAGCCACCACTAATGTTTAATCACAGAGCCTCTTCCTGATTGGCCACACAGAGCAGGTGATGGTCTATAAAAGGCTTTGGAAGACAGCAGACGGGTTGGTCTGTTTTTCCCACGCACCAAGAGTTGTTTGTGTTTTTTATACTGTTTTTTTTTCCTCACTGACTATCTGCAGACAACCTTAAGAAGGAAACCTAATGAAATGGGGTTTTTTTTTGTCTTGTTTTGTTTCTGTTTAAATTGTCTTTCTCTGAGAAATCAATGCCTGCATGCTGCTCTGCCCTTCCCACTCACGCTATCAACCATCCTCAAGTGCAGCAGCAAGCACCCACAATAACGTTTCTTTAAAAGCAAGATTGTAAAGTTGTAAGAAAAATATATATTTATCAGAAATAATCTTCTCTGAAAAAGAAAATGTGTTTTGAGCTTTTCCTTTTATACCCTGAAGCCTCCTGTGGAGAAGAAAAAAAGCAAAGGTCTACCATACAGCGCTATTTCACTGAGAAAAGGAAACAACTGGGCTTCACTTTGAGTCCTCGAGGTTATTTAACTTTCAGAATCTCCTTCAAACAATTACATTCTGAAATCATGGCCGACCTCCCGATCAACTTTTGCCAAACATCCAAATTTCATTATTCTCACCACAGTTTTCATTACATTATCAAAAACAACAACAAATTCTGATCATGATTCCAGATAATCATCATCGCTCAAGACAGTAAATCAAAAGCAAATAGAAAACATCACATTTACAGCTCAAGAGAACACAACCCAATTACCCACACAATCTACGAGTGAATGAGAAGATTTTTCTCATTTTCTTGACTCTAAATTACTTTTAAGACTAAACTTAGCTGTTCATCTACTGAAATACGAACTTTCACTTGTGTGGCAAGTATGAGTCCCTCCTAAGCTAATAGTCTCAAATGGAATGAAAGCCTTGTTATCTGTCTCGTGTGAGGTTTTTAGCCCCATCCTATAAACTGTATTAAGGTTGCACAGACCCCTAATCTCTCCAAATGAGCTTGGTGAGAACGCTGCTGATTGGCAAATCTCAACTCGTCTGTCTGAGTGCTGCAGTCTTAACGCCTCCTCACACATGCAGCTGCGCTCTGGCTTTTCTCCGCTGTGGAACTGAGGGATTTCGTTTGAAGGGTGTGAAGGTTCAGCCATAATGTGAGAGCACAGCAGAAATGTCAAGTGTTGTAAAAGCATGAAGTGACACTTTGATTGTCCTCGTAGAAACACAGGCTGTTTTGGTGTCAGTCAGTATCATCTGCACTGCATTTATCATGTTTTAGCCACGCTAGCGGCATGGCTCCAGGGACAGAAATGTCAGTCGACAGGTCGTTAGGTCAGTCCACCACTTTGGTTCAGATTGAAATATCTAATATAATGACAATTTGATTGATTGCTATGCAATTTTATACAGGCACCGATGGTGCCCAGAGCTCGAATCGTATTAACTCCGGTGACCGCCTCACTTTCCCTTTAGTGCCAACAATGGGTAAAAGTTTTTCATGTATCCAGTGAAAAATCGTACCACACAAAATCTTTTGGTGGTTGCCTTAACTTTTCCTCTAGCACCAGGTTGAAATTTGTGATTTTAAGTGAAATGTGTCATTGAATAGGTTGTGTTGAAATTTGGACATCCAGGTCCCCTTCAGGATAAACTGTTATAAATTTGGTGAGGCCTTAACGAATAAAAGAAAAGTCTAATACGCTGCCCTTTCGTTACTTTTTAAAAAGAAAATACATTCCACAGCTTCAGCTATACTCTATTCAGTGCTAATTAAATAATTCTTGAATTTCCCTCGGGATAAATAAAGTATCTATCTATCTATCTAATTAACAATGTTAGCATTTAAAGCTAGTAGTAGGCGCTTTGAAGGGGTGGGATGCCATCCCCCCTTGTTAACCTAAGCCATCCCCTAGTAGCAGAGAGAGTGGGGCAGAGCGGTTGTTAGTCCAGTCTGCCTGACTCATTGATCCTTTATCTGACTGAGGTTTGTGCAAATTAGAATCCATGGCCCCAACCATGGCTATGAAATATCAGTAGCCTAACTGTGCTGTGTATTGACAAATCCATGGCGCTGTCCATGGTGATGAAGTAGCAGACGGATTTGTAATTACTCCTTTTTCTTTCAGCACTGCCCTTCTGTCAGTTTCTCTAAACTATGTACTATAAATACTCAGCTATAAACTCTTTATAGTAGTGTCAACTTCAGGATCATAGAGACACTGTAGTGTATTGGTGTTTGGTGTTGTTTGGTGGTGTCAGGGCAGGGGGGGTGCTCCCATTGGGCCATCCCAACATGTTCGCACTCCCAACTTTGTAAAATATTCTGTTGCTTGGTTAGTGGCCATCCACTCAAATATACGCTGTAAGTGCCCTCATTGTGTCATTTCTAGACCTGCGGGGCTCTACGGTCAAGTTAGCAATAAGACCTTCAAAATAAATCTTAACGTTGTGAAACAGTCAGCTTACGTTTAGGCACAAAAACTACTTCCTTAGGTAACTACTTACTGACAGGCCAAAAAACTAGTTAGGATAATGAAAAGATAGTAAGTTACGTGGCGTACCTGATGTAACTGAAGTACATGAATAAAACAAAAGTAACGTGACCTGAAGATGAACGTTACATAAATACCACAAGGAAATTATTACAAATACAACAGATCAAATCAGCTGCTACTATTGGATGCACTGCCATGTAATTTGGTACAGATATTCACATCCCCCTCAGGATGAACTGTAATTGATTTTAAATTTAGCGCCATCATCAGGTCAGAATTTTACTGTTGTTTAGGGCTAACAAACAAATGTTAGCATCCTAAAATGCTGAAACTAAGATGGTGAACATTAAACCTGCTACACATCGTCATGTTAACATGAGCCTGTGAGCATGACTGTGGACTCTTGCCCTGCTTTAATCTCAACTGTCAAGTCAATTAGTTTATCTTTTACTGTATTTACATTTCCGATGTATTATTTATCATACACTATGGATGATTTATAACGAACACTGACTTTTTAGACACTCACACTAACTTACACTTCCATTAATGCCACTGATACATAAACCTTCTCAAAAAAGCTTAGTCAGATCGTACACGTATGAGGAATGGCCTGAAGTCAATAAGTATACTAGTCTCCTCCAGACTATCTTATCTTAGTAATGTTAGTATAAGTTGGTGTTATTGATGAATATCTCTCCTTGATCTATGAACTGAGGGGAGCTGCTGGCTGTTCTCCCTCCTTCTGCTCAATACTGGCATCTCATTAAACTGCACAAGGTTTTTAAACCAGTGTCTTAATCTTACCCGAGACTTACATTACACACCACTTCATGTTCGTTTTTTTGTTTCTACTGAGCGCCACCATCTGCGCATTCTTTATGTTGCCAATCTTGAATTTAATGTGAGCAAGGGATTTGGTCATAAAATCATTTGGCGGTTCAATAAAGTTTGCGTGCCAAGGAGAGGGCTGCCTGCTTTTCTGCCTCCTAAGCAATAACATTGAGATTATCGAACAACCCTTGAAGAAGCTCAAGTTCAAAAACTAGAGGGGGAAACTGTCAGATATAAGGTCTCTGTGGAGGTGATAAAGTGATGAGGGCTCTAAGGTCCCGAATATGGTGCCAGAGACAAGAAACACTTCTAGAAAATGTCCCCTGGACATCATTGACAAGTAACAAAGCCAACAGAAACATAATTACATGAGTAAACTGCTTATGTTTGAGATGTTACCACCTTGTGATTACAACTATAGTCCCTTTATGCAATTTAATAAGTGAAAATTATGTTTTGGTAGAATAAAAATTTAACGATGTATCTGATTCTTAATAGTGCATTAATTTCTAGTCATTTGATTCACATTACAGGTCTGCAGCCTGGATTTTAATTCCTCCAACACATCCTGTACCTCCCTCAGACACTTCAAAGGAGGTCTCTTGATCTTTTCTTATTGTTTGGAATTTTTCATCTTGAATCATTGGGTTCACAGTTCAATTATGTTATCTTAACATTTTAATTCCCAATATTGAGATCAGGAAGACAATTTAAGTGGACGAATAATGAATCCTGAATACTGAAATATGTTTATTGCCCTAAAAGTAGTGAAAATGTATATCTATTTTAAAAGCCAAGCGCACTACCCAGTGCTGATGAAGTTTAATATATATCGGAGGGTGCGGTGATAGTCACATCAATCGTCTCACCGCTCCAAAAAAGCTGGCCTAATCACAGTGAGGAATGACAGGCTCAACAAATGAGGTTAAGCTCACATTTTCCTTTCCAGTTTGTCTGATCTGCAATTAAAGTTCAGTTTTATATCATGAGAGACTGCAGTTCTAGTTACAAAGTGTGAAATACTTCTCTACTAAGTATGACTTCTCTTTTAACAGCAGCAATGAGGGAAATCAGACCATGGAACTGCTGAAACTGTAAGACAGATTAATGTTTAGCCAGAAATCCATCTAATCGTCCAACTGGCTGATCATTGATCGTTCTGGAAATTAATGAGGTGACAGAAATCACCAAATCTGGCCTAAGATGTACAGTGTCTGCCTCAAAGTGCTCACTAACCCTGGTTGAAAATATTACTTATGTCTATTAATTGTAATGTATACTTGAACTCAACAAGTCTGTGAGACATGGGTCATGTAGACTATAACATCTCTATGCAGGCAGTCATTTGATATTGATTGTAGAAGAAACATAAAAAGCCAATAGATTCTTACACTGGTGGCATATTGGATGTCCCTCCATATGTTCGTCTCCCTGGAGAGGTCTGACGTCTCGAACAAGTTGTCCAGCACCACCTCCCCGATCATATCGTGTCGTGAAAACCGGTCAAAGTCAAAGACGCTCATATGAAGCTTTCTGACCGCCAGCTCATCGTAAGGCACGGGAAACTGGAAGCTCTCACTGAATGTGGGGTTGAGTGTCTTCCTGTGGACGCGAGTCTGGAACTTCTTGCGGTCGGGCAAAAGGTAGACCTTCACATAAGGGTCAGACGTGCCACATAAGTCCTTGGCAGGTAGGTCTACTGCCTTGATGATGTTGACTAGGAGGGCCTCATTTTCATAGTCGTACTTGAGCGAGAAGTTAATCGAGCCACAGTTTTTGCTGCTGCCGTTCTTGGATGACTCTTCTGATTCCAGGGTCTTCTGTTGGTAAAGCTCTGGCTGGATGCGGCCGATGCTGGTGGGCGTTTCGTCCACCACATAGTCATTTCCCAGGTCTAGGCTGCCTACCTGCATCTGCCTGGGCAGGTGTCTTTTGAATGAATTGTGCCTGCAGGGACAGGACAGACAGAAAGAGAGTGACAGGGGATGGCTTGTGGTTCGTGTTAAAGAGCTGTAGTGCAGACGAGCAGGAAAACTTCAGGAAGGTTTTGACTTTGAGGGACAAAGACGCACCAAGACGACCTCAAAGAACCCCCGCTAACAAAGGGTGACTGATTGTGTCACCTAATGTCTTCCTGACATCTTCTATTAAAGTTGCAATTGACCAAAGACAACTGAAGCAGCAAAAAGCCAGCTGATTTTCCTGTGTGAGAGGAAATAACTAGTGGCCTGTGGCCTGTATTTATATTTAAAAATGCATGAAAACAATTACCCTAGAAAGGAAAGGTTGTAACATCCTTGGAATACAAATTAAGAATATGTCTGATTTGCATCTGACATCGTTAAGTTGCTTTTCTTTGCTTTGCACTTGGGGGTTGTCTTGTCTTTTGCATGAGGTATGTGAGAATACAATGAAAGCTGTAGGTGAAATATAAAAGTCACGATAAGACTGCACTAAATTTACAAAATAACAACAATAACAAAAAGCCAAATGAGGACCAAATGAGGACCAAATGAGGACCCAGAGGTGACTGATGGTTTGCTGTGTCAGGACCCTAAATGGAAATTTTTTGCTGCTTTAGTCCAAGGACAAATAGATGTGCTTTTAAAGGATAGCTGCAAAATAAGCAGAATGGACTACTGATGTTCACTTACTAACATGGTGAAAACGTGCAGTTCTGCTAGTCTTGGCACACTCACAGTGTTTTCTCCACTCTGTTCCATTAATTCTCATGAAGAAGCCATCACATATAATTAGCCTTAACATAATGACCTGCAAAGAGGTGCCTCTGAGGCAGAGAGCAACACGATCTACAATATTTATTTTAATTAACTTTGTAGATACCAAATTGCTTAGATCGAAAATTTCTGCTTTCATTAGTGACACATTACTTGGTGCCTACTTTGAACATACACAGTATTTTCACTGAGGCTTTTTTCTGATTTCCACTTTCTTTTTATTTCATGTTGGATTAGTGGAACTTCTGTACCACATGTCTTAAACTCTGCCTATGTGTGCATCCATGCATGCTTACCCCAAAGCATATTTACACATGAATAACCACATCACACATTCCTGTGTATTATCAGTTGTAAATACATATGCACATGTATATGACTAACCGAGTGGAGGAAGCTGGCTCAGTGGTCTGCCTCTGCATGCGTTGCGTGCGGCGCAGGAAGTGCTCCCTCATGGAGAGCTGCACATCAGTGGGGATGTCAGGGGATGTACGGCTTATCTTCACTGCTGCCTCCAGGAAACCCATCGAGCCCATGGGGTCCTTCACCTTCTCTGTCGCCATGGTGACCAGTGGCTGCTGGGGGTTGGGCAGCGGGGGATGCGGCTGGAGCGGGCAGCGCTCTGGGCCACAGGCCGGGCTGAGGGGTGGGCTGGGGAAATGGGCCTTAGTCCGCCAAGGCACACAGCACAGCCTCCAAGAGACGAATGTAAGAAGGCCCAGCAGAGCCAGGCCACAGACCACAAACACACCGAGCAGGAGGCCAAAAGTAGCGTCTGGTGGCGAGCCGCGGGGACCAGAAACGGAGGATCACACAATATGGACAAACAGATGGTGATTACAAGGGTGAGAGAGGAGAAAGAGAAAGGGAGATATGCTGTTAGGACATGATTTTCCAAATGGTCTGGTGCTATATCATTGGTTTTTATATAAGACTGAGGAGAGTGAGCCAAGTATACTGGGAGATGTGCTTCATAAATATTAAAGTAACCTCCATTAGTCTTCAGTTCAGGGAAGGGATAAGGGAACCATATTAATGTAAACAGAATTCAAATGTGAGTAGGGTATGCATTCATGCACATATACATAAAAATATGACATTGCTGTGTGTAAAAGTAATTAAAATGAGCAAACAACAATATACTTGAATTCTGCACAAAATACTAATGAGAATAGTGTGTAATGTGTCAGAAGACTTCCTCTTGGATTTTTACCATGAAAGAGATAAAAGGGGGCCGGGCACAGTCGAAACTCATTTATTTTCCGGCATTTTGAATATGCTTCCTGAGGAACAAGCAGCACACAAAGACCTGGAGACGTACCAAGAATGCTGACAAGCACTCTGCGAGGATTTATAGGGACTGAAGGGAAAAAGAAAAAGCACAGAAAACATACAGTACTATATCTCTGGCTTCTTGCCTTTGGGACCCTTGCCAGAGTCGCTCCATTCTTGATTTAAAGTAATTATATTTCCCCACCTGATACTTGGAATGTTTTTCCACACTTTTCAGCTGTGATTGAATTCAATTCTCTAAATTTTGCTGTAGTGCTGTTTTCCCACTCACACTGATTGCTCGGCTTTATCTACAATAACTCACGCTGAGAAGCGCCTCGGTGGCCTCTCAGAGGTTCCCTGAACTCCCGTCTCCCCGCGACACTCGAGAGATAGCAGAACGCTGCTTCAAGACATGTTGAAGTAGCTCTTTTCTAATATCTACCTGGCTCAACCTTTCCTTTTTTAAAGTCAAATATGAGCACCGACAAGCTGAAACCTGCAGGTGAGGTTGTGTTTATTTGAAGTTAGGTTTATGGATAGTTTGTTTCATTTATTCTTTATATGGATATAGTTATAAATCAGATAAGTTGTAGTCCTTGACAGTGGTCGAAGAAATATTTAAATTTTGTACTAAAAGCATCAATACCACAGTATAAAAATACTATCTTATACTTATCTAAGTATCATCAGTTTGTATCACGAGTGGTTGAATTCTAAGTACATTTACCCAAATTCTGTACTTGAGTACCATTTTGAGGTACTTTACTTGAAGTATAAAGTAGCATAACATTAAAATACTCAACTCCACTACATTTCATAGAGACTGAAATTATATAATTGAGTAAAAAGTACCATTTTTCCCTCTGAAATGTAGTGCAGTAGAGTTATAAAATAGCATAAAATGGAAATATTAAGTGAAGTAAATTCCACCACTGGTCTTTGGTCTTTGATGTCAAATAGTATTAAATTTCAAACAACCTACTATAACTAATTTTCATGAATAGCTCTGAGACAAATCTTTTATGTATAAACTATCTTTAGTTGACCAACAGGCTGTAAAAAGACCACTTTATTTTGGCTCAAATTAAGAGCTTTCATGTTCAAAATTCAAACTAAATGGACTGTCCACTAAGTCGAATTTATAGCTTAGCCAGGCGGTGGACAGGATTTCAAGTCTGGAGGATTTATGCCTGAGGAGGATTTCTCAGCTGTCCACAGCCCTGGTCGCTCCATGTCATCTGAAATTTCACACAGCTCTCCACAAAGCTTTGCCTTGACTGGACTGTCGCTCGCAGAGTCTTCATCCGCCGTCACGGCAAATTGAAGCAGACCCTGCGCTGTGCACCGATAGACGAACGCCCGTGGTGACAATCTTTTGCTACAAACAAAATGCGTTGACAGGTCAGAAATTTATATGCGAGTATGTGTAACTTTGGCTTGTTTTACTTTTTCCACAGCAGCAACACCATTCAGAGTGTCCACTGAAAATGGGTTTTTTATAGTCTGAGACAACCCAGGCCACCCAATCAAACATCAAGAAAGATTCCAGTAATGGGTTTTCATATTACTGCTCATGTTATTACTTTGTCTTACTTCTATTTGGTAGATAATCATGCTGTAACATTTGGAGCAAAAGTTCCCACAATGCTTTAGGTGATCAGAAAGTATAATGTTGCTATGGATTTATACTGTGTGCTGCAACTAATTTTTTAAGCCATTATTTGTTTGCATTGGCACCAATGAAAGTATGCTGAATCAGCTATTAGCAGTTGCTTATTGCAATGCCCCCATGGATACACGGATGAACTAGCACTGGATTAATTTGGTATGTAAGAAAACTTAAAAACATGGTGATTTTCAGGCAAGTTCTGGAGTTATAAGAGCGTCTTTTTCTGTTATTTCTAAGCAGATTTATAAATGTTTATTCATGAAGTATATTGGGGATAATTATGCCCTCTGAAAGTGTAAGTCACAATGAATTTAAAAATACGTGCATCCTGTGTGCATAGATTTGCCTCAGTTATTACTCTGAGAAGATGGATTCTTTTTTTAACGTAAATTGCACCTATCGGGCGCTAAGGGTTTTAAAGTATCATAATAGCCTCCATGAGCCGTGTGTCACAGCCTCTGCTGCAGCTCCATGTTGGCCAAATTAGTGAGCCAAACTACAATAACCAAGCCACCCAACTCTCTCTTTCACCTCACCTCTTTGCGTGAGGCGAAAAACCTCACAGTTTGAAAACCTCTGCAGGAAAGTGCCACTAAAAAATGGCCGTGCGCGAGCAGACTGGCAGACATGATAAGTGTTTGTGTAATGACCTTTTTGTTAACATCACAGCTCTAAAATTACACTGCTGCACCACTGGCTATTACTTTTTTTACTTTTGCCCTTTGTTTGACAGATGCCATAACTGATAAAGGTACGAAAAGAAGTAGAAACTGTCACGTTTTCCGTGATAATCATAGTATGGCTGGATCTGATTCATACACCTGTCACCAGTCTTGTTCGGCTAAGGTTAATGAGGTACCTCCAGCACTGCAATGCCTTCAATACAGTAAGTCATTTCTAATATAATGACTGCAAGTGTTGACACTGAAATGCTGCTAATTTCTCAGTCCTTTTTTTTTTTTCATCTTTTATTGTTCAAAAGCCGAGCTAATGATGCAGTGATAGTGAGCCAAAAAGAGAGAGAGCGACTGTAGGAGAAATAGAGAATGAAAGAAAAGCCATTGTAATTCCTCTCCAGACAGATGGGTAATGGAGCAGAGCTGTGTGAGCATATTACTCCCTCCGGACACAACCTCCCCTGACAGCGTGAGACTAGACTGACCTCAGGGTTTAGCACACTATTAATGATCACACCCACGCCATAGAAGAGTGGACTATCAGTATCCTGCAGTCAATCAAAACGGTCTTTTCGGATCCTCTCATGCTGAAAACACAATCAATACTTCAGAGGCGGAATCAATCTCACTGTAAAGCTCCTTCAAGGGGGGTTTAGGCCAGGTGCAAAGGGCGAGGAAGTGAGGCACCGCTGTGTGAAAGACATATTTCATGTTTTTTAAAAATGAATTGTCCAGGTATTGACCTCTGAGCTGGGTGACTTGCGTGATCGCAGTGACAGCTCCAGTGCTCTAAAAACGTTGTGGCATGCTTACCCTTTCCCACAAAGCCGAACCACATTGAGCTCTGCAGCAAGCAACCGGTGGTTGCTCTCCCCGGCTGCCACTTTGTATGTTTCAGTACGATCTTTGTCTCATTTTTAATCACGAAAGTTGAACAGCAAAGTCCGAACCAAAACAGCACTTGGATAGATATTATCATGTGAATCTGAGGGTGCACAAATTTAATCAAGGTTTGTTTTTGAAGTGGAGTCAGAGAGCAAAGTGAAGCCTAAGGGCTTTTCTCTCTCTCTCTCTCTCTCTCTCTTTTATTTTTTCATCAAGTGCTTTCAAATCTAACCTGGTTTCCATAGTAACCTAGTCATTAGAGAGAATCTGCACTCACTCTGTTTGCTGTTATGAATTGACTCATCTTCGGCAGGAAAAGTTCACTCACCTGGAGGTAGTACACACAGGTGATAGAGACGTCAGAATGCTGTTTGCGGCGAGTGAGTTACTTTACACAAGCTGCAGTCTGCAGTGTGTTGGAGACACAATATAGACTTGATTTTATTGTCGCATAAGGGACTGTATGAAAATGATTAGTGGGGAGGGTAATGTGATTGTCTTTTTTGCTGAAGGGATGGAGGTCTGAATATTTGGGGAAGAGCAGTGGAAGGCTTTTTCTTTTGTTTTCTTAAACCAGATTTATTTTTTTTAGCCTTTAGCAATACAGGGAATACACTGGCTCTTTTATATGGGTATAAGTGATTACTCATTAGCCCTACCGACAGTCGATCCCACCTTGACGGTGAGGAAACAACATTTTAAATGCGTCATACAAAAATACTAACACATGATTCAAGTTCAGCATGACACGGTGGGCACAGTTCACTCTTTCAGTGGCAGCAATATCAGTTTATTCAGCAGAGAGACTAGAAAATTCACCTTCCTATTATGTTTTGATGAATGTATTCCAAATTTCTAGTTCAGTTTTTAATGTGCTATTAACCAATCCTTTAACCCTGTCCCTGGAGAAAAAGTCAATAAAGGATTAAACTGTTTTTTCCCCCTGCTCTCTAAAGTAAGCTGCCTCCCTGGCAAACTAGATTATAACCAGCAGTCGTAACCTTGTTATTTCCAAAAGCAAGTGAAACATAGCTAACTATGTTATTTTCTTATGGTTACATTAGAAAAACCCCCATTCAGAACTGGAACATTAACTGCATGGGAGATGGACGTTTATCAGAATTTAGAGTTACATTAGAAACTCTGGCTGCTATTTATTTTAGTTTGGGGAAGTTTATGCTCTAGTAAATCCAACCACACTTGTGTTAGAAAGATTAGCATTTTCCAAACCTATCGTTTATTCCTCTTTCTTAGCTCCTTTTCTCTTGT